GGGGGGTGGGGGGAGGAACATTAAGAAAATCAGGCTAAAGAGTGGAGGCCACAGTACAAAATAATCACAGCCACACGGCACGTTTACAATAAACAGAATGGAAAACAAGGGATGGTCTTAAATTTATCTCTAAGAGCACCCTGAATGTGTTTTGTGTACACAACAATAACCGTTTTTATTCTAATATTAGATTGATTTAGCTCACAAATAAAAACCATACCTTCTTTTTTGTTGGAGATCTTTTCTCGATAATTTTTTGCCTTGCATCATTGAGGACTGCCACTAGAAATGCACTGTGCAAGAAAAGTGAAAATTAAAATAACAAAAACAAGACTCAAATGTTACTAAATATGACCGAGTTATGAATCAAACAGATTAATCTTTGGCGAAAAGATATAAGATTACTGGAACGTTATTTTACATTTTATAAAACTTATTTGGATCTCACGATATAACACGATGTAAATGAGCTTACATTACTTTAACTAGATAACTTTAAAAAGCATAAATTAACCTAACTGTATGGAAATTTGAGCTTAAAATTTGAACGATTAAACTAAGCCCAAGCGAAATATTGTTAAAAAGATATTGCCTGAGACAATGTAAAGAGTCAGTATGAGCTTCAGCAATTCGTTATTATTTATTGGTTTGAATAAAAAAGGATAAATCTTTCCAAAACACTTGTACATGTAGCAACAACAATAACAACTTACGCCTGAGCACAGGTTGACAACGTCAAAGCGTGACTACGGGCCCGTAAATACAATAATTCGCTGGGTATAAATAAGAAAGTGGTTAATCAGTATCTGAATAAGGTTCCTTTTTCAGTAAGCCAAGTCGTACTTTTCTTGAGATGTTAAAGCCGCTTCAAATCTCAGTGAAGGTAAGTTTGCACTGATGTCTTCGTCCGCCATGTTTGTTGTTGAGTGGTTGTCAACCGCTGATCCGGCACCACAGGGATACCAATGCGAAAAAAAAAACCGCTATGCTCTTTGCATAATGTACGTTGGTTCTTGAGAGTTTTTCCCAAGTAACTGATTTCATTTCGATCTGTGAGTAAGCCGTGCCCAGACTTAGACCCGGAATTAGATCATCCCAGATGTAGTTTCAGGGTTCGATCTGTGAAAGTTATGCATGAGTCAGCGAGTCATTTTTAGTAATAAAGCTGACCCTTGAGGGTGGGGTACAGGTGGGGGTATTTATACTGAGCCTGCAATATCAAGGTCAGCGGCTGTCTACAAGAAAGATAATTCACGTGTTCTTAAATAATAAAAAAATAAATTAACTTTGTTTATAGAGGATAACACTTGACAGTAATTCAACTGATAAACTTGTGGTCATCTGTTAACGTCTCTAGTTAATTAGGGACGGAGCTACCATTAATTTGATCATCCGAGCCACGTGAAGTTCTAACCATTTGCAATGCAATTACAAAGGAAGCACCTTCTCCTCAGTTATTTTAAGACCCTGAGTGTTGGTCCGGCCGAGGCTTGAACAACGATCTCCCGCACCACAGACCGACGCTCTTACCAACTGAGCTAACCGGGTGCCGGTTTATATATATTTTTTCTTATAGGTGCAAAGTGCTCTTGTTATTCAAACTGTTATTTTTTTAGTGAAATCAAAAGCCATCCTTGCTCCAAAAGCAAGCAAAACATTAAAAGATTATTTATGTATGAGCTGTAATGAAACTTTTCGTTTTTTTTCTTCTTACGTGTTCTTTGTCGGTCTTGTTTCAGTGTCCAAATAGCGGTATACTCAGTTTGTGGGTTTGTCGTGATTTTGTTCTTATATTGGAAACGCATCTGGTTTTGACAACTCTCCATTTCCTATAACTTTTTATTTTGTCATGGACAACCAATTACCTACAGACGGACAGTTGACGGTGACTTATTCAGAACTCTTCTCCTGTAATAAGATCCACTTTGCTGTTGGCTACTCTGTGCTCTCATCATGAAATCAAAATCCGCAAAAATTTGAACAAACTTCAGTTCTTTTGTTATGATTTGTTCTCATTTTTACAATTACAGCGCATCTCAACCACACGCACAAAAACGTACAATTTTCCGTCGCGACAAATCAGTTGGGTTTCGGATGGATATCGTTGCCATATAAAATTGTAGGAAAAACAATGTTTTCAAGGGCACGTGCCTATGGAATGTCATGGAAACGTCTTGATTGACGTATATCTTGATCTCTCAATAAATGCGTATGGTAATTTGAATTTGCCAACTAAACTTGACAATAATATAAAAAATTATCAATAAAAATAAAGTTAAGCTCGACTACCAATAATAACTCTCTTTATTGAGTTTCAAGGTGGGCTACCTCACACGGTGATCACTGTTCTCCAAGAATTGCCATTCTCGATGCGTTTACTTTAGATAATTATACTTCAGCACAGATCAAATTGAAAGATGAATTTGCGTTACGAAGGACAAAGATCTAGATATTAACCGCCAATAAACTAAAAATGAGTGAAGTCAATTGTATCCCCGACTTTTTCCCCCGCCTTTCACTTGTATCTAATTGGGCTCCCTGTACTTTCAGTTGTCTGGCTCATCGACTGACATTTCTTCAGATAGATAATTTATGTCTACTGAAAAATTTGTTATGAAAAAGCATTTCATGCATAACACTGTAACAAATAGTATATGAACACTTCCTCCCATGCAGTATTGCTGTCATGTGCGCAATGTTTCCTCTTGGGATACCTAGAGGTTATATTTGCTGGTCAGAAGGCCAAGACAGGGGATGATGTGCACGAGTTCCTAAACACAGCCATTTCAATAAAGGCTGGTGAAGGTTTTATTGCTGGATGCATGGAAACTCGAAATGCATTATGGGAAATGTAAATTTGATGGATCATCAAAACGTCACAACAATATAGAAGTTTTTTTAAATGTAAGCTGGATATTTCGCGGCATTATTTCCGGTACGCTGACATTATTTAACTAAGATTTTTTTTTTTAGATTGGGAAGCATATAATGTGCTGTGTGGTCACCCTATAGCTGTTCTCTTAACTACAACTGTGTGGTACACTGTACATATTGTGCCGCAGTGCATTTGCATACTTGAATAGTTCTACCATAGTAACAATTTCAAATATCCCAAGGTCAGTTGATGTGCTGTGTGGTCACCCTATTGCTGTTCTCCTAACCACCACTGTGTGGTAGACTGTTGTGTTGCAGTGTATTTGGATACTGGGTTAGTGTTACCATAGTAACAAGTTCCTATATCCCAAGGTCACTAGATGTGCTGTGTGGTCACCCTATAGCTGTTCTCCTAACCACCACTGTGTGGTCGAATTCATTGTGGCAGTACATAACGAACCTGGGCTTGTTACTACATAATAACCAAAATTATCCTCAAATCGCTTCTGTTTCCCTGGTGCAAACTCGCATTCTGGGACACGGAAATCCAGATGAAGGTGATGATTGTATTTCTTCTGAAAAGCGGGAACCGTGCAGTTATTGCACTCCTCTCCTTTGATATTGACATAAGCCACTTTGATACACACTCCTATCGTGTCCACGGCATCAAAAGGATCGTAGTCATTAAGGTTACCAAGAAGGAAGTCGGGTGTGAGAGAAATATTCCTTAGAGGGAACTGACAAGTCGCTCTGTATAGTATGGCATTGGCTCGAATGTACTGCATGTTGCTTAGCGACAGGCGATACTTGTTCCAGTTTGGTTTAAATTCGTTTACTGGATAGTTTTGAAAGAAGACTTTTTTCTCGAAAATATCTTTATTGCCAAAAGCAAAAGATTCGATGAGGGTCCATGCTTGATGGAAACCAACAAAGGTGCAATATATTGGAAGGATGTCTTCGGTATCTTTATGAATGATGTTATATATCCCATTGGCTGGCAGGATACCGTGGAAGAGAGATGTCCTAAGAACATCAATGCAGGAATAGCCATTTTTATTTTCACAGATTTTTCCAAAATAATTTTTTTGGCACTTGCAGCTGAACTTGACTTTTGGCTTCTCACAGTGTTCTACACAGGTTCCTCCGTTCATACAAGGCTGACTTCTACAGCAACCATTATAGCACACACCCGCAGGGTGAACCATGTGGGATTTCTGCAACGAATGAATATTCATTTAATTTTTTATTGAATTATGAATTAAAAAATACGTTCAAAAAACTAAAGGTATCGAGAGATTAACCTCTTTAAAAAATGTCTGCTGTACGTCATAGTACACGTATCCTGTCTCATCTACAAAGTCTGCTGCCTTGGAAGTCTTGTCCTCATCCAGCAACTCACACCTGACATCTTTCATCTGGAACGMCTTACAMCGACARTCATTGATACAGGACGAGAAGCACGTGCGTGGAACATTAGTGGTAATGTTCTTGTAGGAGTATCCTCTGAGATGTTTTCCCTTGATGACTTGGTTGTTCTTTGGGAAAGATCCCGAATAGCAGGTGCCTTGACATTGGAACTCACCGATCACGTGGGTGACGCATGATAACAGCGTGATTATTACGTGTGACGATAACTTCATTTTTCCAAATCCTGTAAAAATGAGGAGGACTTTAAAAATGGTCCCTGGAAGATGGTTTTATCAAGGACTTCACCAATGTCTAACTAAAAAGCAAATGAAGTGATATATCAAATACATGAATGAGTCATAGCGTAAATTGTAAAATCCATTACAGGGAAACGTCAAACATACCTAACGGCAAACGTCAAAAATTGCCATAAAAAGCATTGAACGAATAAATAAAACTCATATTTCATAAGTTGAATGAACGTTTATTTTTAAATCCTTGTATTCAGTTGAAAATGATTACTAGAAACTATATTTATATGATGCTATTGGAATTCACTCGATAATTCAAAATGGTAACGAACATATGCCACCAGAGAATTGAGTTGAAAAAATTGAGGCGAAGACAAGTCACTTTAACTCACTTCAAGGTGTTTGGATAGAGGATCAAACAATCTTTCAAGTGCTCGATATGACTTCTTAAACTATTAATAATCCTTGGAGAAATTCAAAGCATAAGTTGCCCAAATTTTATTCTAATGAAGAACACATTTTCAAACTTGTTTTACGCTACCGATTTTCTTTGTTTTTGTTTTAGAAAACATCTGGATCTTTCAAGGAAAAATAATTTTAGAACAGGCGAGGCAGACCTCTTTTATCTCTATTTAAATCTCTCTCTTTTTTACCTTTAAAAAAATTAATTTATCTTTCTTCTTCTTCTCTTATCGTATCACCTGCCTCTATTGCTCTTTATTAACTCCATTACATTTACGTTTGATACACTGAATAGTTTTTTTTGGAAATATAAGAGAAGTATGGCAATATTACTGAAAAAAAAAATAAATAAATAAAATGCCTTATTCTCTCTCTTGGTCTCGCTCGCTCACACGCTCTGGTAAAATCTAAAAAGTTTATAAATTTCGTTTAAAATCATATATGGCATGAATCCTTTAATTTTTTGCTTTGTTCAGTTCTTCTACTCAATCATGAATATGTCCAGATATTAAAATCTTTTCAAAATCACCTATTCGGGGTACAACCATAGGAATAAAAAGTAAAAATCCAAGTAAAAAACGGTTGCAATATTCAAACAAATTTTAAAAAGGAATTAAAAAAGTAATCAAAATAAGTGCTTAAGCTTACCAGTTTTTAAGGAGGTACGTTCTTTAAGAAAAGCTGTTTCTGAATAGCGACTGCTATATCATCCGTTCGATTGTCCAAGTCAAGCTCACTGTTCAACGGTACAGTAATGATAAAAGGGTAAATTTTACACCGTGAAAAAATGAAAAAAATGAAAAGATAAATAAATGAATCAAAAGAAAAAGCGGAACGTGAGCTTTGCTATTTTTCTCATTACAAAAACTTGTGAACTCTGACTTGAGTTCTTTGTTTAACAGATCAAAAACAGTTTTCCGTGTTTGATACTCTGATCAAAACACGCGGGATGTTGGGAGAACACGAGAGGAGCGTAGGA